AGAGCAATATGAACTTAAGAGCATTACAATAATACAAAGTCTACAAAAATGAGCAGTATGTACTTAAGAGCATTATTATGATACAGAACACACAAAAAATAGCAGTGTATATTTCAGAGCATTATTATGATACAAAGTCCACAAAAATTAATACTACAAACTTCATAGCATTGTTATGATCAATGTGTACTTCAGAGCATTATTATAATACAAAGTCCACAAAAAATGAGCGGTTTGTACTTCAGACCATGACTCCACAAAAATGAGCATTATAAACTTCAGAGCATTATTACAATACAAAGCCCACAAAAAATAAGCATCATTTACACCAGAGCATCATTATGATACAAAGCCCACATAAAAAGAGCAGTATGTACTTAAACTTAACTTAAAAATTAGCAATGTTTACAGCAGGGCATTATATATATACTACAAAGCCCACAAAAATCAGCAGTGTTTACTTCAGAGAATTATAATGATACAAAGCCAACACATAGCAGTATGTACTTCAGAGCATTATTATGATACAAAGTGCACATGAGCTGTATGTACTTCAAAGAATTATAATACTACAAAACCCACAAAAATGAGCAGTAGATACTTCCGAGCATTATTACAAAAGAGCAGTATGTACTTCAAAGCATTATTATGATACAGAGCCCATAAGTTAAAACAATTGGTGTTCAAGTAGTATTGGTTACGTAGATACATGTCAAAAGCTTTCTGGAAATATACACATTATACAGGAATATATATTAAAACATTTCTTTAATTACAAATAAAAATCCTGATAAAAATGACTAAATGATTTAGATTTGTATGACAAAATGATATACTACTACTAGTACTATGCGAAGTCATTGTGAATGCACATATTTATCTGTGTTTATAATATAGTGCAATAATTGGTGATATGCCACAGTGTTTTGTTGTTGTTTGTTGTTGTTGTTTTTTTTATCGTTGTTTGCACCATCCGACACTTGTAACTTAAGTGTTCTATGACTGTGTATTTGTGAGGTTTATCCACTGTCTACTAACAAAGTTTGTACAGAAGGAAACAACACTGATGAATGTAATGTACATGTATAATCATTAATTATACAATGTCCAGGTCAGTATTCAATTTAAACACGTCAGTCTTGTTGTTTACATTAACCAGTCGACCACAGATGCACGTATGACAGTTCCATATTTTAAGTAATAGAAAGAGCATCGAAACACGAGGCTATCTGATTTGTACGAGGGGCGTAGCCCCCGAGTATAAATCAGATTGCCGAGTGTTTTGATGTTCTTTCTTTTTTGTATCATAGTCAAACATAAAAACACGTTCCCTGATACCACAATATGAAACCCCACAAAAAAGTAACCAATGAACGAGCATCTGAATATGACATTTCCATCGCTATCCCTTTCTCTGTCGTCACAATATGTAGACCCCGGACAAAATGAACCAATGAATGGGCATGCTCTGGAGTGCGGGTAACTAATACCTGCACTCCATTTAACGCACTGTGCATGTATATGTATACGGTTTAACTCTGTCATATTTTCAACAGAAAGGTCCCCAAACCATGATACAATTGTTGTTTACACCATGGTACGTGCTGACATTATCCATATGCTACATTATCCAGATAATGTAGGATGTACAAAATATATATACCGTGGGTAACTAACGATATATACACCCCCATTTTGTTGGTTATATAATTATCATTAAAGGTCAATTATGCCCCAAAAATGCTTCAATTCTTATTTTTTAAAATTTGTTTATTTTGGATTTTTTATAGTTTCCAATAGGTCACTCATTGAATCGTTTGCCAACTACCTGAACAATCTTTTCCGTCTGTTGCGGTTTGCCAATAAAAACAGCTATAGTGATTTAGTATTTTGTGTGGTTTGAAATAAAAAGTATTTTTTTATCAAACTGCCGATCTTTTAGACTGATTAAATTAAGCCGATTTACCAAAGTAAATGTGTTACGATTCATTTGAAATACTGCCATATATATTGGACAAAAATAATTTCAAACACTTATACTAACGCACCTATAGATACTTAAGCTTGACACATTTGAAGTATATAACAATATCTATGCAGGTTAAAAAAAGTAATGTCAACATATTTGTATACAATATTATGAATGACATGGCTGCCAACTAGAAACTATTAGGAGTGTTGTTGGCGGTACATAATTGAAAACTTACAAATTATAACTGTTAACTTCCGCACAGACCATAACATGTTGACGTTTTTTGTTTTATATTTTAAGTGGTAAGAAGAAAGAGATACTTTATATAAGTGCGCTTTTGACGTTGATGTTTCATATGTCGAAATTGTTCGTTTGTTTGTTGTCTGTTTTATTACGCCGATGTAACACATGTGTTGGTTCAATCTCATTAAAATCAGCTCCGTGGTGGTGGTGTTGGTAGTTTTCACTCCGGATCACGGCAGTAAGTCACATTGAATTTACCAGAGCACAGTTCAACCACCGCATCGTTCCTGGGCAGGCTGTCAAGCAGTTTACCAGTACTAGTTGCCTTCACTTTCGCAAGGAACTGATAACTTCTGTACATGCCAGAGCAGAGGTACAGTGCGAATGACCATAGAAAGGATTTCATGATCAATCACAACCAAAGTGACATGCGCCGTCCGGGAATCGAACCCGGGTCGCCCGATCCACAGTCCAACGCTTTACCTTTTGAGCTAACTGGACGGCTAAAATCAACTCCTGATTAACAACACTACGCATTATACACCATTAGGAGGTTACCTTCTCGTGACCTTTCAAACAGCCAATCTTCGGCGAGCTATCACAATTTTGAAAGCGAAGCGGTTTTTCCGCTGGAATTCGAGAACAGATATGGCGTTTCCATATAGCCGGCTGGTAAGCTGGCAAAACAATCTTGTCCATTAAAATTGTGTCTTTTATTTCCAGTTTATTTGTTTCAAATTACTTCAAACAATTTTTTTCTAACAAAAACAAACAATTTGTTTTACTTTCACGGGCATAAATATTTTGATATTTCGACTAATACCTATCTGTGTAGAACGGTTTGATTGCATGGCTAAAAATACTGCTTTCTCGGGAAACCCGAATCACAATGAAGGAGAAACAAATACGGTGGCAATCAGATCTTTATGCAAGAATCTGAACTTTAGTCAGATTTGTGTTGGTCATATCTCGGCGATCGATTCCAATCGTAACTTTTCGGCCCTTTCCGTCAGTCTTTGGATTTCTTTATTGTAGATTATAGCAGAGGATGTTGCGATTGCGGTCGATCCACCTAACCGGCTTCCTTAATTAACAATCGAAATTTTCCCATTTTTTCCGAAAAGCGCAAATTCGAACCATGACCCTGGTTTTACTTTTTTTGAGATATAAAAAAAATTTAAAAAAAAATGCCCGAAAAGGGTTTTCAAAAGGTGTGAAAATTTTTTTATTTAACGTTAAAAATTTTGCAGGTTTCATAATTTTTTAAAAATTATTTTTCTTTTTTAAAATTTTTCCAATTTCAGTGTTTATTTTAGTAAAGCTTGACTCATTTTAAGTAGATTTTCTTAGTATTCTTTTAAGTTTTAATTTTATCTGTGGACTTAAAACAAAATTTAGCTTCCCTTAGGAGCTATTGTCATAACCCTCTCAATGACGTTTGCGTGGTCGATAGTTAAGCTTTTCGTTTAATAAAGGTTCGTTTTTTTTCAGAAATTGTCGACGCCCTTCAACAGAACGTGAAGCAATTGCAAAAGGACAGATCAGTCTTAAAATTAGTTTTGCCAAATTATTCCTTTTTCATTTAATATATTTATTTATTTATTCAAGTTTGTTCAGGTCGATTTTTCTCAGAAGGTATTCATGGCAAACTTGGTATACATTATGAAAATTCAAAAGGGCCGATAATTATAAAACTAATTTTGGCAAAGTAATGGCCCTTTTTTAGACTAATGTCAATTTCTCTTAAACTATCGACGTCACAGAATTCACATCAAACAGGGTATATGCTGGTTGTGTTCATAATATAACTGGAATACATTTTAAAGGGACAGATAACCTTATAGTTCATTTCTGCACAGTTATGCCCCTTTTGTCAAAGACAAAGTGTATTTACTATCAAGGCAGGTGAGTCTGCCAAGGAAGAATTATGCGGACTTATGTCCCTTTTCTACTTTCAAAAGTGGAATTCTATATAAGGAGGAAGCACAAAAAGATAATTTTTGATGATTTAACACAATTAGATTAGCTATTCTGGAAAAAAATGAGGGAGTGAATGATCTGAAATTTTGCACACAAGTTATTGGTCTAGACCTACATCAAATTGAACATTAGCCTCGAAAATTTATTTTCAGTGCCGTCATATCAAAAAATCTCGCTTAAATCCCTTTATAAGGTACCAGTCTGTTTTTGAGTTTTGATTGGATAAAAAGATAAGCAGACGACACATTAGGAAACCGTCTTTTAAGGTACCAATCTATTTGATCCTAATAGGATCTGACGGGAACCAATAGTAGGTCACCTTCTCGTGACCTTTCAAACATCCAATCATCGGCGAGCTTTAAATTTTGAAAACGATGCGGTACCTAATTTTAAACCGCTGAAAGAAATAACTTAAGGAGATCTGAACGTTAGTCAGATAAGAAATTCAATCTGCTTGACAGTCACATATAAATTGCTCTTGATTTCGAGAAAATTTCGAGAAAAAAATAAATAGACGCAGACGACAATTTTCCCAGCATGCAAATGGTAAACAAATAGATAAACAAAAATAACGCTTAAAATATTTAGAGGATTTTTCATAAAACATGGTGAAAAAGTATGTTGATATGTAGATATTTTGTATATATGGATAAAGTAGACTATTTCCTTATATCACACTTGTACAGGCTTTATCTCACGTTTTATCATCGTATCTCTTCCCTTTACGTATTCATTTTACCAAATATTTCCGCTTTTCTTGAATGAACAATAAACAGACCCTTCACCAAGTATGTCCACTTAATATCATCTCATTTTTTTGCGTTACTTTCAATCGAGACTCAGCAGTCGAAAGTTGTTTGGGCACTTGCAAGCTAAAATCAATGAATACATGAAATTAAATAGGAGATGAATTTTAGTGATTAATATCAGCTTTTCAAAGGGATTAGATTTATAGATATTACTTCGATTCCATAACTTATAATATCGTTTGCATTTAGGGAAAATTATCAACAGAATAAAAATCAACTTATTTATTAACAGCGGAAGATTGACAGCTGTTTATTAAAATGGAGAGTCAAGAGGAAATGAATACACGTTATGCAGACAAACTGCTACCATTGACAGTTCTGTTTGGATTTTTTTCTTTCGTAGGCGTGGTCGGTAATATAATTGTGTTACTAGTGTTCGGGCCTGGCAGTGCATACAGACGCAACAATTTCCGGGTATTTGTCGTCTGCTTGGCGATTATAGATCTTCTTACAAGTGCTTTTTTGATACCAGCTGAAATGTTCAAACATCGGAACTATTTTTCGTTTGGTGATTTGGCCATTTGCAAAGTGAAGTGCCTTTTTAATGTTTGGGCTGGTTGTGCCGCAGCCTTGACCTTGTTGATCATATCCATAGACAGGTACAAGAAAGTGTGCAAACCGTTCCGTACACAGATCTCTCCCGGATGTGCATTGAAGCTTTGCGTATTTCTGGCATTTTTTCTGTCAGTTATACTTTCCGTTCCAGGCGCAGTCATGTGTGGGATCAATGAAACAAATATGACCAATATCCATGGAAACTTGACAACTGTTTTCATGTGCGAGACTGAAGAAAAATTTAAAAACCATATTTTCAGAAAGATATACAAATTTGCTTTCATCCTTCTGCTGCTTGGCGTGTCCGGAGCATGCGTCGTTATGTATATCTTGATTGGTCGACAAATTGCCAAACATTGGGGATCAGTACCAGTTAATTTCAGGAAAGATTCAGACAGATTAAACTCTGATTTCTCTTCGGAAACATTTGGTAAAATCCAGTCATCTAATAATAAAAAATCAGTCGAAACCTTGTCAAGCGTCGCCGATGACCCTGATCAGATTTATCCATCTCTCAATCCAATGGAAGAAAGCAGATCTTCAGTAGTAAAAGCTAACGGAAATGTCGAAATGAATCAACAATCGTCACAGAAAAGACTTATCAAACAACAAAGTACAACAAGTACTTCCAGCGGCGGAAACAGGAAAGGTGACACCGCGCAGGCGAGAAGGAAAACCATGACCCGTCAAGGGTCTGGATTCGGGCTACGTCGGTTTCCGTATAAAACTTTGATATGGTTCATACTAACCATTGTATTCATCGTGACATACATTGTTTACCTAGCCTTGGCTACACAAGTTCCAAAGATTCCAACAATGACGGCATCATCATTTGCTCTTTTTCAATCATTCTACAGGATTTATTTCATTAACAATATAATCAATCCAATAGTTTATGTCGTTCTTGACAAGAATTTTCGTACGGCTCTGGGAAAGGTTAAGGACAAAATGACATCCTGCTTTCATAGATAAACAAATGCGATCAAATAGGGAAAAAAACATACTGACGTTTCTAACTTGAACGTTTTGAAAGTATATGTTTACTGTATTCTTTGAAAAAATTCAATTCGTATTGATGTAGTGTGCTTAAATTATGTCCAACAATTTTATTTTTAGGTGTCCAGTATAAAGAATTGTTGTACAATATATGCTTATAGTAAAGGTGTGCAATGTATAGTACAGGTGTGAAATGTAATGTGTATGTGCGCGCTGTAAAGTAATGGTGTGCAGTGTAAATAAGGTTAGAATGTAAAGTATAGGTGTGCAGTGTAAATAAGGTTTGAATGTTAAGTATAGGTGTGCATTGTGCATCATGTGTGCAATGTAAATAAAAGGTGTAATATAAAGTATAAGTGTGCAGTGTAAATAAGGTGTGACTGTTAAGTATAGGTGTGCAGTGTATATTTGGTGTGACTTTAAAGTATTGGTGTGCAGTGTACATCATGTGTGCAATGTAAATAAAGTGTTTAATATAAAATAGACATGTGTGCAATATATAGTAAATGTATATGTGTTTACTTTATTGTAGGTGAGCAATGCAAAAGGTGTACAATGTAAAATAGGTATTCTATATAAAGAATATGTGTGCAGTGTAAAACAAATATGCAATTAAAGTTTGGTGTGCAGTGTAAAGAAAAGGTGTGCAACGTTTAGTTTAAATCCGTTTCTATTCTGGTCAATATAAAAAATCTTTGTTCCCCTCCCACTATAAGGAAAGCTTCATGCCTCCCGCGACCCATTCCAATTTTGCAATATACGATATATATTTTTTTGAGCATAATATTTATGCCTGAATTACAAAAGCTATGTTTTCATGAAAATGACAGTTATAAAAGTTGTGTCAATATTAAAACAAGTTCTGTTATTTCATTTTGATAGTTTGTTTTTGCAATATGGTTTAAAAAAAAACACGGTATATAAATATATATAATTTCGTGTATTTTATTAGTATATGATCTCTGTTATATACATAGAAATTTTAACTTTCTTATAAGTAATCGGAAGCCTCTTAAAATTGTTTATACAAGACAAATGACATATAACTGTAAAATCAGAATATTTCGCGACGGATTGAATTTAGCTTAAATCGAACGAGAAATAGTTTCGCCACTATATATCTCGGCTCTACATTAATAAAACTTAGCCGAGAGTAGATATTTGCAAATATTTAACCTCACGATTTAGTACGAATTATGTATTGATTATGCGAAATTTTCACTTAGCGAAAATATCTTATTTTACATAAAATAAGGTCTGTATATCAAACAAAAGGTAATTTGTTCGTTTTTTTTAAATAAACACTGAACAACAACAACAACGGCCCCATAAGGAACAATAAAGTAGTATGTTTTAACATGCCTAAGAGCAGCTGTTTTTCGAAAATGTGTTGCTTTTCTTTCAAACCCGGCGAACAAAATGAGGCAAATTTTCATGAGCGTCAATTTAGTAGGTAGTTGGAAGTTGGATATTCGAATAACCAATTACCTACTAGCTGATAGTTTGCAACTATTTAACAGGTGGTAGTTGGTAATTCAATCCACTATCACCAGCATGAAATGTTAGAACACCACATATACACAGGAATCCCCAACTAACTACCAGAAGTTCGAATTACCTTGGGTTTTCACACGAATAACGAGTGCCCTGGTCGACGTAGAGAGACGGGGTGATACCTTTTATCTTGTAATATATCGTTATTATTATTCTGAAAAAAAACTTTGCATCAAATGTACTTAGATTTTAAGAAAAAAAAAATCTCGAGACTAAAGCAATAAGGCCTTTTTGCATATTTTTACAATTATTTGGTAATTTATGCGAATTGAAAGTGTTGTTTGCAATATGTTAACTACTTTCTTTGCTCACTTGAAAATATTAAACCTTTAAAAATTAGCATGAGTCTGGAGGTTTGCTGCTTTAACATACTTTTTTCACCTAAATTCCGCAAATAGAAATATTTTTAACCAGTGAAACTTGATTAAATAGACTCGTCTCAAACCATCACGTTAACAACAAGTATTGGTTTCTACGGAATGCCGTTAGGGCCATCGCCTATGAATGTGTTAATCTGAAACGCGATAGTCGATAGTACGATGGTGAAAACACGAAATCACGAAACTACGATGGTGAAAACACGATAGTATGATGATGAAAACGCGATAGTACGATGATGAAAACGCGATAGTACGATGATGAAAACGCGACAGTACGATGGTGAAAACGCGATAGTACGATGATGAAAACACCACAGTACGATGATGAAAACGCGATAGTACGATGGTGAAAACGCGATAGTACGATGATGAAAACACGACAGTACGATGATGAAAACGAGAAATCACGAAACAACGATGATGAAAACGCGACAGTACGATGGTGAAAACACGATCGTTTATCGCGTTTTCATCATCGTAGTATCGTACTGTCGCGTTTTCATCATCGTACCTTCGCGTTTTCATCATCGTACTTTCGCGTTTTCACCATCGTAGTTTCGTAATTTCGCGTTTTCACCATCGTACTATCGACTATCGCGTTTCAGATCAACACATTAATAGGCAATGGCCCTAACGGCGTTCCGTAGGTTTCAGCTTATTTATTGTCAATACTTGAACTGCGGTTTTATCTTACGAAACACGGCTTCTTTTTCTGGTATGTTTTTTAAAGCCTGTCAACAGTCTTACTTATTTTCCTTTTACTACTCGTTTGTGTAAAGTCCTTTATCATAACCCCTCGTGCAAGGACACGAATGTCAGCCATTGTAAAACACTTTTTAGACCACAGCTGTTTTCTCTCGGCCAATCAGAGAGGCTAAAAAGTGTTTGATATATCCCACACATCACAGTAAAGTGTTTGATATAACTATCATGTTTGTATTCAACTGAAAGGAAAAACCCGTTATGTGCACGTTTTATGGGAGGAAAATTTCTATGTATATTGTAAAGTAAATACATGTAGTGTAATTCCCTTCTTAAAAAACAAACAGATAGCAATAGTCATTTGACCAATTTTTTTCGACATTTCATCATTTTACAAGAATAGTTACTGTATTTGTAAATAAGAAAAAACTAGCAATAATGATGTGAAATGCGTTTATCTATCTATTTAAATCTATATATGTATCTTAATTTTACGACGGCTTTTGTGCTTATATTTTCATCCTGAATTATGCCCGGCTCACTCTTAATAGCAGACACTGTAGATGTACAATATTTTCATCCTGAATTATGCCCGGCTCACTCTTAATAGCAGACACTGTAGATGTACATTAATTTACTGGTTTGGGAAGAGGGGATTCCACTGGAGGGGGTGGAGTTTCCGAACGGTGACTGGGCTGCGGTTGCAACGCTAAGGAAATTCTATGCTTAAAGGCTTCAGAGGGACGTTTGTAATATTTTTTCAGTTCATGAATGAAGTAAAAAAGTAAATGCAGGATGTATATAAAGCATACAATAAATAAACGAATCTATACGTCAAGTAAAATATTTTCAACTTCAGCCGAACAACCAATAAATATCCTGAACCCTAGTGTTGTTTAAGCATTAAGGAAAACGTTTAATGAAAGTTACCTGCCCGTTTCTCCAACGAGCCCACTCTTGATAAGTAGCCATCGCCCATGATTTCTGTCTAAGGGTATATTCCGGTAAGCAGTCTAGCTTCCAAGCGCTGTGTACGGTGTTATGTCATTAAATCATTTAAATGAGGAATCAACAGGAATAACAACAAACATCTCCCAAGTTTCGAAATTATAATGTTATCACATTCAGAAATGTTAAATTCTTCCCAATTTTCATCTGACTGCACCTTTGCGAAAGAATGTGAAATCTATCTATCATTCACTAGATTGTGTATTCAGTAACTTATGAAAGAACATGAATTATGCCATTTTCTCGTGCATTTTTGCCTACAATAAGGCCATATAGATTGCATAAGAAATATTTGGATATCCCTATGTAACTGTCGGAGAAAAAAAAACGTTTACGCATGTTTAATCTTCACCTTAAACAGAGAAAACTACCTGTGGTCTAAGTCAGATAGATCGCTCGTACCAGTTGGATGTGAGATTTATCAACTCGCTTCGCTCGTTGATAAATCTCACATCCAACTGGTACTCATGATCTATCCTATACATACCTAACAGCTATTAACTATTGAGGTGTGAAAATTCAATTGCGTATAGTTTACTAATGTGATAATGTATATAGGAACTTCTTAAATAGTTATAAATCAGAGCGGGCGCTGTGGTGCAGTGGTAACACTGTGTGACTACTAGTCTAGGGGTTTCGAGTTCGATGCCCCGCTACTCCACTAAAAATACTAACAATCTTTCACACACTCACACACATGACACTACTCACACACTTACACACAGGACACTACAGACAAACAGGACACAACTGACACTACGGTCATACAGGACACTACGTACACACAGGACAATACTGACACACAGGACACAACGTAGACACCGGTCAAGACTGACACACAGGACTCTACAGCCACACAGAACACTACTGACACACAGGACAATACAGACACACAGGACACTACTGACACACAGGACACTACAGACACACAGAGCACTTCTAACACACAGGACACTACAGACACACAGGACACTAATGACACACAGGACACTACAGACACACACGCCACTACTGACACACAGGACACTACAGACATACAGAACACTACAGACACACAGGACTTTAATGACACACAGGACACTACAGACACACAGGACACTAATGACACACAGGACACTACTGACTCACAGGACACTTCTTACACAATAACAGAAGACATTATTCACACTAACACTACGGACACACAGGACATTACTGACACACGGATACACAGGACACTTTTGACACACAAGACACTACTCACGCACACACAGCACCTGACAGAGAAGACATTAATCACAAACACTCACACTGGCCTAACACACAGGACACTAGTCAAACAACGAACATGACACACAGGACAAAGTGATACACGGAAGACAGTAATTACATACACTGACACAAGACACTGTGTATACAGCGAACATGAAACACAGGACACACTGACACTGACACACGGCACGCTATTGACACACAGGACTTACACTACTGTCAAAAATTGACACAGGAAACTACTAAAACACAAACCTGACACACAGGACACTATACTCGCACAATTACGCACAGGTTACTATGCACACAGATATCTCAAACACACAGACCTTACACACACAGCTAACCTTACACACAAATGACACTACGGATACACAGAACACTACACACACACATTGACAGACAGGACACTACACACACACACACACACACACACCCACGCACACGCACACACACACACGCACACACACACACACACACACAGACACACAGCACCTGACAGAGAAGTCATTAATCACAAACACTCACACTGACCTAACACACAGGACACTATGTACACAGCGAACATGACACTTATCAAATACGGAGCTTATTCACAAAACGCTCACCTCTACACACAACAAACATAACAGGACACTACTTAAACACTTCCCCACAGACCATACAAAACTCACACATGGACACAGAACACTTCGCTCAAAGGGCACCACTCACATGCTGGGCATTGCACACATTAAATAAACAGAAGTAGTAACTAAGATAAATATAATCTCATGATAATAATTAATTTAATTCGACCAGCGAACTTAGGTGGTCTGTTTTGAGGGGAAACATGCAAAGTTCGAATAACCAAATACTAGTTTGGGATTCGCGCAAATTACTAGCTACAGTCGACTCCCGTTATCTCGAAGTCATCGGGACCGTCCAAAAAATATCGAGATGTCGAGATAAACATATTAGGGTTTGAATACGGAAGAAACTTATTTTAACAAAAGACATGTACATACCTTATGTCAAATAGACTATGATATCCCAAAGTCTTGTTTTCATAAGCCTAGTCAATATTTAACGAAGTAACGTTAGCGGAAATACGAGTGTCTGTGATAAAAACACATATAGTGAGGTTTACTCAGTAATACACCAATATAATGAAAACATTGTTTTCACGGTGGTTGATCCGGATATCCGGATATTGTCTCGGGTTATTATCAGGTCTTTCTTGAGATTGTTCGACCGCTGATTGATTTTTTGATGTTGTGAAACAATATTGCAACTATAATAGTGTGAAAATAACTGTTAGGGCTAAATTTTACATCGAGATACTGAAAATATCGAAATAAAGATATCGAGATAAGCAAATATTTCCAATTAGATTAAGAAGGAAGAAAATCGGGACTTTCGAAATTTCATCGAGATAACGAAATATCGAGAAAAGCGATGTCGAGATAACGATAGTTGACTGTAGGTCCCCTCCTTTATTTTGTATTTAAAAATGTAATATGTTCGAACATTTCATGCTGAATAACCAAGTACCAGCTGTTTAATAGTTGGAATTCGAACCCAGGACCTCTCAAATCCTAAGCAACCATGTTACCCCTGGATAACGGGTTTTAATAAACTCTGGATAACGGGTTTTAATAAACTAAATGATTCTAAATTTAGAATTTCCATTAGGTTAGGCTGCCGATATCGTTTTATTTATAAATGCAGTAATCTTCATAAACAAAACAAATTTAAACACCTACAATTTCTTTCAAGTTTCAACAAAATCAGACTTCGTTTTTTATGTCCAGTTGACCAAGCTTTGGCACAAAATTTTAGAGACGTGCAAGTGAGCCAAACCTGATATTCTGAAAAAAAAAAAACTAAAAATTACATTTGGTCCGACGAAAGGCAGACATTTAGTGGGCGGTTTGGTGGTAAAACTTACATTCTAATATGTATCCGTTCTGCGGTTATGACCTTAGTTATGACCCTCCCATGTCATCAAGTCCTACAA